TTTGGTCTTGGGACTTTTGAGAATGGACCTCTATGCATTTGCTAGAATGGCACGTATGTTCTCTTCACCTTTTTTGACATTTTTGAGAGTTGTTTTGTAATGTTTCTTTAAATAAATGGGTTTCTCTTTAAAGACTATTACAGCTTCTGATTGGTGGGTAGCACACTAATGCCCGACAAGACTCCCTGATATCATTGTGTTGGTGTTCTTGCTTCAGAAATTGTAGCTGTTGTTGCCATAACTACTCATATCTAACTCATATCTACAACTGACCAGTGAAGTTGAAGCCGTAGCTTTAATGCATAAGGAAGTCGGTGAGGTAGCATAAAGCAGAGAACTGGACCATCATATGACACATACGGGTTCAAGTCCTGATTTATTTAACTCTTTCGCCAACATGATGCTGGTGGAGGTCATTCGAGAACCAGCTCACATTTGGACAGGTTTGGGAACTATTACAGTGCAGTTCCCAATTTTATTTGTATACTGCAAATACTTCAAGATGGTACAATATCAGCAGAAACCCTAACAACCAGGTGAGTAAGTACATGTTGACAGGAAGGAAGGAAGAAGTCACTTTTACCAGAAAGGAAACCTCCGGCAGAACCAGGCTCGTAAAGCCAGTGTGTAAAGCCAAAGTGTCCAGTTGGTGGATGAGGAGGAAGAAAAGACCTCAGACCTTTACCACTCACAGTCTAACTTTGGGTTAAGGTATTTTGTCAAGTTGTGCATGTGACAGGTTTTTGCTTGGTTTTTATTTCTTTGGTGAACATGCACGCCCACTGAAAGGACTGGAAAAACATTGGTAATGGACTTTTTACTATAATAATTCTAGTTTAATATTTGTGTTAATTTTCAAGGATTTTTTTTTTAGCAGTCTGGTTTGAAAAAACTATAACCAACAGGGATAATACACCTTTGCAACATTTACCACATTACAAAATCTTTTTAAAAGCCCCAAGAAGAACATCTGCTCCTGGAAGTAATTTTCCAAGTTGGCAAAGCTTTGATTGCACAAATGGTCAATTTAAAAATATGGCCTGTAGCATTTTTATAAATAATACCAACATGGGCTTATTAGATCATACAACAGTGCCACGTGTCTGAAATACACATGATACTCAACCCTGTCTGTTCACAGCCACCTCTGGTGTGACTGTTTTCATACCCCCGACACTACTAGTCAAAAGTTTGAACCCACCTCCTTACATAGTAGATTCTCAATGAAGGCATCAAAACTATGAATGAACACATTTGGAATTTAGTAATCAAACAACTCAAAACATGTTTTATATTTTAGATTCTTAAAAATAGCCACCGTTTGCTTTGATCACTGCTTCGCACACTCTTGGCATTCTCTTGATGAGCTTCATAAGGTTGTTGCCTGAAATGGTTTTCCAACAGTCTTACTGGAGTTCCCAGAGATGCTGAGCACTTGTTGGCTCTTTTGCCTTCACTCTGCGGTCCAGCTCATGCCAAACCATCTTGATTAGGTTTAGGTCATGTGACTGTGGAGGCCAGGCCATACCGCGCAGCACTCAGTCACTCTCCTTCTTGGTCAAATAGCGCTTACACAGCCTGGAGGTGTGTTTGGGGTCAGTGTCCTGTTGAAAAATAAATGCAAACCGGATGAGATGGCATGTCACTGCAGGATGCTGTGGTAGCCATGCTGGTTCAGTGTGTCTTTAATTTTGAAGAAATCCCCAACAGCAAAGCACCATCCAACCTCCTCCTCCATGCTTCACAATGGGAACCGTGCATGTAGAGACCATCTATTCACTTTTTCTACATTGCACAATGACATGGTCGGTGGAACCAAAGATTTTAAATTTGGACTAATTTCCAAAGCACAGATTTCCACTGGTCCAGTGACCATTCCTTGTGTTTCTTGGCCCAAACAAATCTCTTCTGCTTGTTCCTTTTCCTTAGTAGTGGTTTCTCAGCAGCTCTTTGACCATTTGTTTTTACTCGGCCCTGAAAAGCTTAGAAATATGGTATCTAACCAGATTCTTACTCTGAATGGCATTACCTTGGCATCCAGTAACGCTGTGAGGAACCTTGGAGTCATTTTTGACCAGGATATGTCCTTCAACGCACATATTAAACAAATATGTTAGACTG